ATTACGTACCAGACGTTGCCAATCGTTGATTTAGAATAAACATGGCAAAGTATAGAACCACCATGTAGTTGACGTGGGTATGCATTTTGTGCACTATTTCTATTAGTAGATTTGCTTCTTTTCAACGTGTATATCAAAGGTATCTATGTATATATATATATATAGTGAGAGAGAGAGAGCATTGCTTATTTTGATATTTACTCTAGAAGTCTTAGTATTAAAAATAATATGCATCCATGTCAGCCTCAATCTACCTCCCTGCTATCTTGAAGTAGTAAGAATAAAGAAAGGGCTCATAGGTATCCATAACAAACTGTCATAGAGCAAAAAACACCTGTAAACTAATAGAAAAAATTGTGTACCTTCACGAAACTATCAGCACTCTTGTAAAAAGAAATGTGTCAAGATAGTTCGTGTTAGATAATGCAATATTCTCAACGCTGCTACACAGAACTAGCTCACACTCATTTTCAAATTCAAATATTCTTCATCTAAAGGATTCGAAGCTACTTAATACTTGAGGGTGTGAATGAAAGTGAGTGTTGTTATTGTTAAAACTTTGTCTATTTACTCGTCTGCACATACACGTACCCTCAACTTCAAATATATAGAATGACATATTTTTCCATGATTCTAATTGATAGTCTTGATTACTACTTAGCCTTATAAGTAAAACACTGGTTATAGCCTTTAAAAAAAGATTCAATGTATACAGGTAACCTGTAGCAATACATGTGCGTAGACAAACTAAGCATAACACCAACATTGTAATTAGTATATACAGTCGTATTCTTCTACTATTTTTCTTCGTATGACGTCGTAAGTCACACTGAATAGATCGTGTTAAGGAAGAAAAAAAAAATAAAAAGGTATTTCTTTTATGTAGTTTGAAGGACGAGACTACAAGCAATAACAGATTCACGTGTTTCTTCTAAGGACGAAATCAACATCATATTTTTGCTTATTGCGCAGAAGTGAGAAGATAAATACAATAATTTTTCTTATAACATTCGAAACTGTTTGCTTGAAAATACTCAAATTTTCAGAAGACTTTCTAAAACTATGCAGTTAATAGAAATAAATTCCCAAGAAATCTCATTACTTTTCCCTATTCATAAGGAATTTTTTCTAATATACTACTAAACAATTTCTAGATGATTTCAATAATAAGCTATCCGAAAAAAAAAATTTCTAACTTTTTGCAGAATATTTAAACATCCAAAAAAAAACACAATATTGATAAAATTTCTGAAAAAAATGCATCACGAAAAATTTCACACCGTGCATCAATTAAATGTCAGTAATAACTGCAAAACTATCAACAAATTTCAATAGATATGGAAATTATCATATAAATATGTTCTCGATAAATATCAATGTATTTTCACACGTAGAAGAAGACCTTATTCTTCAAAATATAGGCAACTCCAGTAAATACAGAAACACATAGATTTTAATGTAGTTTTATATTATTATCAAGACTGTACACTCTAAAATATAATTAATTTTAGAAATTGCTGAGAAATTTCTGCAATTATCTGTACGTTAAAAGGTAGCACCTTCGTCTCAATAATAAAAATGCATTGATATTTAAATAGAATAAATATTTCATAATTTCAGTAATTTCAAAAATTACTAATATTTTAGAAAACAGGAGTTTCTTTTAATACTGAATATATGTTATAGTTGAGTTTGGAATCTATATAGTTGAGATTGGAATTACTTAGTTCACTTTGTTTGTTTAAAAATTTTTCTAACACATATCAAAAAAATTTGTCTGTTTCTTGTCAAATTTATATGTACTATTACTTCTCAGACAATAAAAAGTATCTTCATATTGGATGTGGGTGTGATTCCTCTTAATTGATACCCATATTCACGCACACTTATATGTACATCCACGCCCACACCTACATCCACACTCAATCAAAGATCTGTAGTTTCATGAACAAGTGTATTCAAGAAAAATGATTTGCAATTCACAAGAATCAGGCCCATTTGAGACGATAATTCTGTCAGAAAAAAAAATATTAAACACTCAATAGAAGTATGTACATTCAACTAAATTAGATGTCTTTCTCAATCATATGTAACGCAATATTAAGAGTCCATAATATTTTTCCATCTTGACTTTTCAGAGGCAATAAAGTACGTTTTGATACTTGTAATCAAAATCCACTAAGCTTGGATGGTAACAAACACTTGAAAGTATTCTATTTATATCTATCAAGTTTTTACTTTGGTGAGTGTATTTTTATCCACAACTGTACCATGTTGCTTAGAGTTAAAAATGGCCGTGAATTACCATTTTTGGTGTGGGTATTCTTTTTAACTATGCCCGCCAACACGCACGCCTGTACCTCATGAACTTACAAACATCTCACACATCTATTCATATCTATTTTCTTGTTTCTGATTTTTTTAATCACGTCTTTTTTATTTTTGCAACATTACAAACAGATGAATCAACACAGAAAATACAGAATGCGTTAAAACTGAATGAATAAAAACAGTAGACAATTGAAATTGATATAAAGTGCAATAGTGAAAGAGAGGAAAGTCATACTATTTTGCGAGCACATGAGAGAGTGAAGCTCGTTGAAATAAAGTATTTACATTCACTTTTTCGTTCTTATCAACAATAAGTCGATATATATATATTTTTGCAGTTGTCCGAATGTCTTAAAAGAGAAAGTAATTGATATTTTTCTCTTGTCAAGCTTTCGTCACTGGGATTTTTTTTCTATTGCGTATGTCGTATTCTTTCTTCTATTAATTGTTCTAGCTCTTTAAACTTTTTATTCAGTGTTTACAGGCATGTGTAGCAAAGGTATAGTGATGAAATATCTCTCATCGAAATTATTCTTTCATTTATTAAGATGATTTCATGTATAAAGCACTCAGCGGAGAAATCTTTTATGTATATGTTGAAATTATTTAAATAATTTCTAACTTTTGCCTACTCTTAGATGAATTCCATGCGTGTTTAGATGTTTCGAAATCCATGAAAATACAAATCAGTTTCATAAGATTTTCACCTATGTTATGTAAAAATTGGATGAAAAATACTTTAATAAAATATCGCTTTGATCAAATGCAACAATGCGATTAGTTTATCAAAATTAGCCTAATTTCGACACTATTCACTAGACCGAAAAGTCTAGGATCCGTAAAGTTAAATTAAAGCCAAAAGTGTCTGTTTGTCTTTAATACGTCCTCAGGACCATTATCTTTTTCACACTACGATTCATTTTTCTTGGTTTCTATTTATCCAACGGATGCCTAAAGATTAATGATTTATTCATTTTAGTAGTTGCTTCTAGTTCTTGCTGGAGTACGCTTGAAACTGTTATAGAAATATTTCTATATATAGACATAGTAAAAAGAATGTCAAATCTCTGAATTTGTTCATGTATTATAGAATACTTCTTGATACTTTTGTTTTTGGATCGGTTTACTTTTTGGACTTGGAACTATCTATAGATTTTTAGATTTATTAATATTTGTTTATAGTTCAACTTTGAAGTATTGGAGTTTTTTTAAAGTTTGTACTTCAGACCTGAGATGAATTATTTATAAATGCAAAGAATTACTTTTCATTTCGAATTAATTTGCAACCCTGAATTTCAGTCTTACGCGGTTTTTCTCTTCAACGAAATGCTTTTAGCTTCGTGAGAGATATATTATCTTGTTCGAAAGGCTTTTGTCTAGAAAATTAAAGTAAAATGAAAAAACAAAAATGTCCGTCTATGAAACATATTCTTACTATCACTGTCTACCTAGTGTTACTACTGTATGGATTTTTGGTGATTTAATCTTGTGAAATTCTATAGTGAGAGAAAAAAACCACTTTTCTCTCTTCTATATGGTTTTTTGGTCTGATTGATAGGCATTTCTACTTATTGCTGTTTCGAGCGCGGTATGGATTGAAATATACAGCACAAGAGATCTTATTTATGGTATACTAATAGTTGAGTCTGCGAAGAGTAGTCCCAATACTTGAGTTTCCTGACAGTTGAGCTCCCAATATTTGAGCTGCAATAGATTATCAGTGTAAAGAATTGTAGGTGTGGAAGAACTGAGAGCGACACCCACACGAATATTCATATTACACGACTACACACCCACATCCACATTCCACACCCATCCTACCCCCAAGATAGTCTAACTCGTCAAGCCCGTCACAATGGCACTATTGTATTTATTACAGGTGAATAGGTAGCACAAATCTGCTTTGATCATCTTAAGAACATGTTTATTAATATCAAACACTATCAACTTTCAGTTTAGGAACGAATAAATCAGTATCATTTGAAAATTATTTGTTGAATAGTATATTAGATTTTACCATCATAAGTTTCTGTGAAAAAAACAGAAGCAATAGATTATTGTGACATACTTATTTCTGTTTATTCAAATGAGCTTTTTCTACGCTGGCGCGTTCCAGATATTACTTAGATAATCAAATATATCGTCAAACAGACAAATCAAGTCATTTTATGAGAATAAGTGATTACTAAAGTCTTTTCGAATCAAAAGAACACCTAGAAAACCAACGTTCAACCTGTCTCAGTGTTCGGAAAAGCAGAAAAAATTCCTTGAAATCTCTGAGTTTTTTCGCAGTTTTAGAACTGTTCTTCTGATTTATAAATCATCCACATGTTCTACTAAGGTGTAATGTGTGAGTGTGTAGGTTAGGTTGTGAGTGAATGCGTGATGATGGTCCGTTTATTTGTATCCACACACTCAAGTCGACCTGATCTTTCTCGTAATATGGTATTCGTGTTTGGATCGGATGATAGATAAATTTGTTTTGAACTTTAGACTTTTGTTCATATCTAACGTATGCTATGTGTTTCACTTATTTTCTAGAATATCATCTCAACAAAAAAGCTATTGTTCTTAAACATGAAAACACTTAATTTTCGTTCTTTTGCGTATCAGCTCTACTTTGTTGTTATCATATACTGGCTCAGAATATATTTCATTAGTGTATACAATTGTCGAATCGTGATTATCTCCTCGTGGATAGATGGTATCATCGAATTTTTTGCAAATGCATGCAGTATGTTATTAATGATTTCATTGTTAATGTATTTTTATGCATCCGACGATCCTTTGGCAACACATGGGTGTAAGTTCATTCTTGAAGATTTTCCTGAAATTATATTTTTCACATTATTGTCACCCTTCGCCATCCTTTTTGAAAAACGTGTTGGTGTATGTATTTCTAAAAGGGATCTTGAAAACTTCCTTACCGATCCTATTTCACGCTTGATGCCGATGGACGTTAGTGTGTACGATGAGAACGACGATGATTTCGAATTTGATCAAGACTTTTATCAATCTAAATACAAAAACATACGGTTTCGTCGCTTACGAGTTTCTAGAAGAGAGTCACACAATAGCAATGCTGCTGGAGCTGTTGACTTTAATGATCACAGACCAACTTTGAATTGTCAAGTTTCATCACTTGAAGAAAATAGTTCATTGCAACAATTAATACCATATAATCATAGCTTTGGAATATCACAGCGGTTATTTCTTTCATCTAGAAATGGATTTTTCGTGAAAAATATTGATGATATTGATCCACGTTTTATTTGTCAATCCTGTCGATTAGTTCTTCGAAAACCTTATCAACTTCAATGTGGGCATCGGCAATGCCAAGCATGCATAGATGTACAAAATAGGTAAATAGTTTTGTTTTTTTTTCTATTTCTACGACTGAAATTGTAACTCTTCCGTATTCTATCCCATAGAACTATTCATTGCTTATCATGTTCTAAAACTTCCGCGATCAATGAAGTACGTTTGATAATGAATGTGTATCGATTATTTGTTTTGTTGTATTTATTAGGTGTGGTTTGATGCAGCTCTTCAAGCCGAGTTAGAATGTTTATCAATATTTTGTTCAGTTTGTGATTGGACTGGACCATTAAAAATATATCAAGTAAGAAAGATTGAGTTCTTGTTTCACATCATTAATGATCATTTCAATTTTATTTAAAGGACCATATTGACCAAAATCATGTCGATAGATTTTTGATTTGCTCATTGTGTCGCGAACAAGTAAATTTTCATTTAATTAATGATAAATGTATTGAATAATATAAGAAAACAATCATTTTTAGGTCGAACGAAGCAAAATAGCTGAACACTATATGACTGAAACACATCAATCAAGGTTATTAAATATTCTTCTACATTTACAATCCATACAAATCAAGAATGATCAACAACAACAAATGAGATATTCTCAATTTCATGATATGATATCCATTTTATCAACTGATATAGCATTATTAGATATTCGAGTAGAACAAATTCAATATGAATTTTATTCTCAACAACAAGCACTTGAACTTCACACTTATAAATTACTTTTACTTAAAAATTTGATTCGAGAAGTTGTAAATTATCTGTATCAAACAAGAACTATTCAAGATTTTTGTATGAGAGAAGTTCTATCGTTAGAACACCATTTCGATCAAAGACATATTATATCTTTTGATGGTATATTAAAATGGAAAATTAGTAATATCCAAGAAAAAATCAGTACGTATATTCAAAAAAAAAAGGAAAAGAAAAGAATATTTCTATTATTGAATTAATTTTTTAATTCTAAGATGATGCTAAATGTGAACGACAACGATCGATTTATTCTCCAGAATTTTATACGTCACCTACAGGTTACAAAATGCGTGCTAGACTATTTCTAAATGGAACTAATGATGTTCAAGATACATATATATCTATATTTTTTATCTTGATGCGTGGTGAATATGATGCTATACTCAAATGGCCATTTCATTTTAAAGTGATCTTTTCACTACTCAATCAATTAACTATTGAAGACGATCGACATCATTTGAATGAATTCTTTTGGCCTGATAAGCAATCGATCTGTTTTCAACGTCCACACTTGGAAATGAATAATGCGTACGGTATTAAAAAGTTTATTTCACTTGATAAATTTCAACAAAATCGAGATCAATACGTGCAGGATGATACGATGTTTATCAAAGTTGGAATCGATTTTTTAAGTATTCCACCAGGTAATTTTGATAGTACTATGTATATCTAAAAGAAAATATCTGTATTTTTGTGTACTCAAAAAGTGAGTACACTCTAGAATCGGTCAGTGTGTCCGGCCGTCCGTTTACACGATAACTTTTGAAAGAAGAGTCCAATCGCGATGAAATTTTCTACACAGTTCAGTCTTAACAATATCTCGGTCGAGTTCGAAGATGAGAAGAATTGGCTGAACCATTCCTGAGTTATTGCAAAAATACTCATTTTTTCCTATGGCTTCCTATGCGAAAATCGACCCATCCCCGCTTTCGTAAAAAACTTTTCCTATCATAGCCAAATAAAACCCCAACTATTATATACCTTTCGATAGAGAATTTCACGAGCTACAAAATGGTATATAAAACATAAAGTAACAAGAAGGCTAACTCACCTATTACAAAGATAATTAAAGGGAAATGGGTTCCGTTTTTGTCCACGCTCTAATTGACTCACAATTCGAGCTCTATCTTCCAATCATAGAGTTGATACTTTGAGGTTTTCTGGAGCGGAGAACTCGAATCCGTACTCCACTTGCCTCGAAATATTATTGGTTGAGCAGTGACCAATAGAAATCAAGCTATAGGAAAAAACGACTTTCTTAGGGTTAATCAAGGCGAAGAGTTCAAATTTGAGCTCTATTCGCCTCCAAGCCCTATTGATGGATCAATAGTCAACAGAAATAAACAGTTTATAGGAAAGGTTTCCCAGTATAATTTTGATATCCACACATTCTAGGATGACTCATCTGTCTAATTCACTTTTTGAAGTACACCTAACTCTCGGATTTAAATCCGAAGTTTCCGCATTTATTTTTTAATGTATTTAGAAAATCGATCAGATGCAGGTGAAATGTTAATGATTGATGAACAACATGTCGACACAGAGGAAGATGATTTGATGCGAAAAATTTTACTTTCAAGAGGATTCAATGACAATTAAATATTATTGCCAAGTTGTCTTTTTTTTTTCTCCTATTTATTTATAAACATTTTTTGATATTTTCGAATTGAGGTTTGATATAATTGATTAAAATATTTTTTTTCCTATTCTATTGATCTGTTATCAAAATATAAGAACGAGTTTATAAGATCTCTTATGAACATGCATCAGTCTCAATGATTCTCAAACGTTAGAAGCGGTAAAAATTTTGTAAACAGTCGGAGGCAATCTATCTGGCAGAATTTATCCAAGAAAGTACGTACATTCTCAGGTCAAAGAGGTGTAGCGGGAAACGACCGAATTCCCGCCGACCAGATTCAAAATCGGTTCCAGCTTTCTTTCTGCCATTTTCTGCATTCGAAAACGATACGCACATCCGGTTCACGTTTCCGGTACGGTTTCTGACTAGGGATACATTCATCTACAACCACAAATCGATACGAGTTGAATCTCGTTGTTTTCGAAGCTCGAATTCTGTAGCTTTCCTTACACTGTTCTCTTTCTCAACACTAATGATTCATACTCTTCCATCATTTATTTCAACAAATAGCATCACCGAAGTGAGTGAACATTTCAGATTATTTTTGTAATTACACTGCTCACTTTTCGACTATAATAGAAATTAAGTGTTGTAGTCAGTATAGAGCTTCTAAGTGAAAATTGATTATATTTTATTATTAAAATGCTTACTTTAAAAGTCTATATTGTTTTCGGCGAATCTTTATTTTTTTCACATATGTACAACTTATTCGTTTTCACCAAAGTTTTATTTTTACTGAAACAAACTGTTAAACTTTTATTATAAAAGTTTTTCAATTAATTTTCATAGCGATCAGTTTTCACTCGTTCAATTTTGATAGATACACTTCGTTCATGAAATGTCGATCTTTCAAGCATCTATTATACGCTTGCTCTCGGATTCATTTATACCGAACTTTTATGAGTAATTTTATTCTATAACATGTACTTTCTATTGAATTTTTTGTTTTAAAACAAAATATGCATGAATAATAGATCAAATATAGAAAATGTGATTAGAATGAGACAAGAGAAATAGAAAAGAACATTAGAATATAAGTAGTAAGTCATTTGAGCGAAAATAATAATATCTTTTTTTTCTGTCATAGCGTGAATCGAATCAAATCCAAATGAAGGTTTTTTTATTCGTTTCGGTCTACGATCAATAATAATATCTAGAAATAGAAGATAGTAAAGTAAGACTTATTAAGAAAAGTTCTTTTCTACTTGAATGCTTTTGAGCTGCAGAAGGTGGTTGTTTCTTTACATGTTCTTGTTCGATGTTATTAGTCTGATCCGATGCAAATGGTCGATTCATTGGTTTTTCAACCACATTTATTGTTTTTTTTTAGTAAGTTGGGTATACTTAATAATCATAATTCATTTAATTTTTATCGCATTCATCTTTATACCCTAAAATGATGCAAAATATCAATGAGAGAACAAGTTTTGACATACGTTTACTTTGGAAGAGAACTTTAGCTTCAAAACGAATATCACGTGACATTACTTTATATTGAACATTTGGAGAAATACCAGTCGAATCGTATTTGATAAAAAAGATGAGTAATGATATGACTTTATTTTGTATGTATATTTTCAACGAGAAAATATTGATGGGGATTCATATTCATCAGTTTTGTTCCAGAAAATTGACAGTGTATGAATCAGCTAATTGTCATTTGATTCAGATGCCATGTTAAGATTATATTTTCTTAATTACAGCAGAAAACATCAAACGCATGTTCACGCATACGAATTCTTTTAGAGTCACATGTACCTGCTTGTCATATCTAGCGTGAATAAATGATATTTCTTTGTTGATGTTAATAAGTGTTGATGAAATATCCAAGTAAGAAAAATATTAGCCGGTGAAGTTAATATACGCAGATCGAATCTGTTCGTAAGTATTGCTTTCATATAGTGATAGACAAAAGTCTCAGTAAGAAACGAATAACTGCAACGAATTGCATTGTACTGAACTAGTTAATGCCAAATTATTTGATTAAGCTTTCGTTCCACTCCTAGAACATCATCAGGAATAATTTATTTTGAATTCAAAAGTAACGAAGGTAATAACGACAATAAGATGAATTAAAAATTATTGGATTAACAATTAATCACAATTAGTAACATCTGCTCAACGAAGAGCAAATGTAGGTAAATATGATTAATTGTTAATCAAAAAGTTTTAATTCTTCTTATTACTCATATTGTCTTCGTTATTTTTGAATTCAAAATAAATCATTCCTAATGATGTTCCCAGAGAGGAATCAAAGTTTGAATCAAATGATGTTAATAGTTAGGAAGAATCTGAAAAAAACTGCTTGAATAAGGACGTCTAAAAGAACGAAGAATTCAAAACTAGTTTGCTAGCACCCATTCGAAGCTTTTTAGAAACGGTTTTATTTGATAGAGCACATAATTCTGACCAAAATGAGATGTCTCGTCTTTCTTCATGAGGATGTGGGTGTGGATATGAATGGGAGAGAAGACACGCGCAGCCCCGCCCACACACCCACACCCAACTTTTGGTCAACTCTAAGTATTACTTAGTTTATAGATTAATCATGTTGATTATATCATATCGATTAAAAAACAAGAAATATTTATTTGTAATTTGAATAATTTCCAAATGAAAATGATTTATCAATAATCTTTTTATTTCGAAGTAAGCATAAAAATCGATATCCAATAGTAGCTGCAGCTAGACTTGTTATATTTGATTGATCATATGGTGGAGATACTTCAACAATATCCATTCCGACGTAATTGATTGAACCCAAACGACGAAGAATAGACATCGATTGTGCCATTGTTAGGCCTCCGCAGACTGGAGTACCTGTGCCAGGAGCAAATGCAGGATCGAGACAATCGATATCAAATGTTAAATAAGTTGGTCGATTTCCGACTCGATTTAGAATTTCTTCTGCTACATCATTGACTGAGTGTTGATGTACCCATTCAGCATCAAGGATTTTTACACCCATAAAATCATCATTAAATGTACGAATTCCAATTTGTATAGATGTTTGAGGATCAATAAGACCTTCACGAACAGCATAGTAGAACATGGAACCATGATTGATACTGTTTGAGGATTCATCTGGCCATGTGTCACAATGTGCATCGAATTGAATGAGAGATAACGGTTTGCCATGACGTGAAACATGTGCTTTTAGTAGTGGATATGTTGAGTAGTGATCTCCACCTATGAATACAGACTAGTTATGATCGAAAATTTTTCGTTAAACAAAGACTTACCAAGTGAGAGAAGAAAAACATTTTGATCAATAATTTTTCTTGCATGAGTTTCAATAGCAGTCGGTATTGTATGAGGTTGACTTAGATCGAACCAACAATCACCATAATCAACAACGGCTAGATCAGCAAAAAGATCGATTCCTTCAGGATAAGGTTTTCTATTAGCTACTTGTGGAGACACTTCTCGAATGGCTTGCGGTCCAAATCGAGCACCTGGTCGATAAGTAGTTGCTAAATCAAGAGGTATACCAGTCACAGCAACATCGATATTAGTCAGATCACGTGTATAATTTCGTCGAAGAAATGATAGAACACTAGCATAAGTTTGTTCAATCGTAAAACCAAGTGGATCTTTTCGTCGAATGGCACCATCGCCACGCAACTCTGACTCTTCTCCGGAAATCGATGAACTTCGTTTTGTCGAACTAAGTGTACGATAATTGCGCAACGCACTAGATAACCCACGTCGACATATTACAGTCAACATGATTGACAACAAAAAAAAAAGAAAAGAAAAGTAACAGTAGAAAAGAGACAATGTAAATCTTTTCTTTTTTTTTTTTGTTATCAATGTTTGAGGCTGATAGTGATAAGATGTTCGTACCAAATAGAGTCAAGACAAGAGAAAGTTCTCTATTCACGAAAGGAAAATCAACTAGTGATTAAGAGAAAACGACTGAAAACACAAAACAACGAGACGGCTAGTGAATGGCAATAATTGTATCGAACTAAATTCGTTCAGAATGCTTCGCTCTACGTCAATAAAAAATAAATTTTATAGAACTCACATATATTTTCGAAGAAAATAGTGAATGTAAGTTTTAAGTTCAAGTTTTTGCGGCTCCCCTCCTCTTACAGACAAATAGTAACATAAGGTCCCATTACAAACACATAGCAACGTAGACCCCCATTACAGACCTTAGCAATTAAGAATAACAGGCGTCAGACTTTCTAGTTTTTTTTTTGAAAAATTGATCAAGTTATAATTTTGAAAGATTATCAACATTATTGTTTGTGAGCTGATTAATATATATAATAGTGCGTAAGATCTTCTGTGGATATCATGGATATGTAAAACAGATTTATTTGTCAATTAATTCAATGATTATAATAATAAGAATGTTGAGTTACGAAAAACGATTTAAAATTTAAAAAAATGAAAGATAATGAGCGAATAGCAACAATGCAAAAAACAAATAGGGCGCTCTCAAATAAAAAAGAAATTTCTATTTTAAATGTACAAATAAATAACAAAGTCTCGCTCTTGTCATTGATTATCAATGAAAACAATTACAGTGTATACGAAATTTTTCAATTTACATATGATGCATTAGAATATTAAGGTTTAAGGATGTATGTAAGTTCCACATTTCAGCTCCAAAGGAGCTGCGCTAACAAGCTTTTTTATCATATTCATGGTCAGATGGATCAGCAGGTGATACAATTTCTTCGGGAGAAAATATTTGTCGATTATAAATACGTCGATAACGATCAACAAGTATAGAAACAAGCATACCACTCATTGTAATACCACAATAAGCACATAAACAAGCAAGAATTCGACCAATTACTGTTGTTGGACATATATCTCCATATCTAATTTATTAAAAATATTTATATTAAATATAATCAATATATAAATAGTAAATTATTTTAGAAATGATTTCTTGATTATTACATATCTTTTATAATCGATACTATTTTTTGCAATATATTCTGAATATCTGAGATGGAATCGATCTTAATTGTAGACCATTGATATCATCAGTGTCTGGAATATGTCAATTAGCACTACTATTGGACAAATGAATCTGAAATTCATTTCGGTATCAGTTTCATTTCCGAAATACTCTGAGAAATTCTAAAACATCATTCATCTTTTAGTCATCGATGCATTAATATTGGTGTATCACTGTTTGAAATCCATATGAAAACAAGATGAACTTATGGTGATGATCAATTTTCAAGACTATTACCATCTATTTGCATGAAGATGTTTGTATAATGTAAAATCCGATCAGTATCACATAGGTTTGATGAATTATCGACTGATAAAATAATGTCCTCAAGTATTATGTACTGTTGTAAAATTAAGATTTTTTTATTTTGTACATCTCAGTGAGCACAATGTTTGATATCAAGGATTCGTGCTCATACTAAATTTTTAAGGAGTATAAGATACTGTGCCCTTTGAAAAATCATCAAGAGATTCTAAGTAATCGAAATTTCTTGATTACTTCAAATCAGATTGAACTAAACATATTTATATGTGAGACTTAAATATAAAGCAGGACTCGAAATGGGTCGTACGATCCGACGACTCGAACTTTGTTTCTTTTTTTAAGGAAAATTTTTCACGTGAGAAAACAAAAAGAATCTAATTTTAATCGATTTTATTCTGATTTTTCGTCAAAACTTCTTACATAGGTTTTACATTTCGCAAATGATAATAATCAGAAATCTTTATTGTGCAAAAATTTTCGAAATTTCATTTAGTCAATAAATAAAATCACAGCATTTATTTGGTTCAATGACATTCTTCATCTAAACCCGAGGTTGAGAGTATTATAAGCAAGTATTTTAGTCATGAAAGTTTTTTGTTGATAAATGATAGTCTTCAAGATGTTACAGTATCCACAAATGTATCTTGTTCTTTCGGTTCAATAAAATAATTCGACTTATTTCTTATGCTGTTTTTTTACAGGCATCAAAATTTTTCAGTCTTATTCAACTCGTGATCACTATGATAATAAACTTTTTACAATGTTCTAATAAATGACTACAGTGCTTGTAGATTTTGATCGTTTAGAAATTCTTTTTGTAAAACAATTACACTTATGATAGTGTCATTCTAAGTTGAGCCGAGTGATCATGAGCAATTCTTGGTCTGGTATAGATCATCAAAAAATGACTCGAATTTCAAGCTTGATAAAAAGTTAAAGCGTATAGTTCTTTTGTATAGTTGAATCTATAGAAATACATACCCAAGTGCTGTAATAGTTAATATTCCCCAATAGGTAGCTTTTGGCATTGAATCAAAAACATGACCATTAACATCGTTTTCGGCAAAATAAATAGCGACACCAAACATAAAAGCCAATAAAGTCAATGTAATAATCATAATAATCAAATCTATAAATGATTCTTTCAATGTTGAACAAAGGACACGTAATGATTTTAATTGATTACCAATTAAATAAATTTTTACTACACGAAAAAAACTTAATATTCGAAATATACGTAAACCAATAAGCAAATTTTCATTTAAATATGTTTTTTTATAATTTAATCTAATACTTAAAACTACAAAATAAGGTATAATAGCACTTAAATCAAGCCAATTATATAAAGTAAAAATAAATTTATAATATGATGGTGTACTAATTAAACGTAAAATAAATTCAATTGTAAAATATGATACACATATTGTTTGAATTATAAAAAATGGTGAAGAAAATTTTGTTAAACATATTGATATATTATTTGTTAATGATGTTATATTTTTTTCTTTTTTACATAAATTATTTGATTGTTCATTATATTTTGGTAAAGTTTCAATAGCTAATGCAATACAAAATATAATAGTTAATAATATTGAAATAAAATGAAGAATTCGAGCATATGTTGAATGTTGAGGATATTCTAAATAAAACCAAATATAACGACGCCATAACCAATTTGGTAAATTAATATGTTTAATAATTGAAACATTTTCTGATTTATCTATTTGTGAAATAGTTTGTGGACCTAAATCAAAAAATGAAATTTCTTCTAAAAATATATCTAATGGAATATAATCTGGTCGACGAAGACATCCATTTGATTGATAATAATAAAGTATTGCTTCAAAACAAGATTGATGACGATCAAAAAATAATTCATTTTCTTGTTCATCCCAATAATTCATTCGTTTTTGTTTATTACCTAATAATGTATTTGGATAATTTTCAAGAGTAGATAAATATGTTTCATAACGGTTTCCACTAATATTTATTGTTATTCTATTATATATTTTATTTGTTGATAATGAATTATAATCATTTCGATGAATTTGAATTAAATTATCAGTTGTAACGATTGAAACTTGACTAGAAAATAACAATTAACATATATAAAATTTTAAAAAAATTTATAAGAAACTAAACTTAAGAGCTTTTCGTCGACGTTTTATTGGATTTGTGATTTTATTTTTCCATTTATCAAAATGTTGAAAATCTCTTTGTTTTGATGATAAAGGTTGATCATTAATAAGATTCATTTCAATAGATTGATTCTCATTATTGTTCGATTAATAATACATTTTTATTTTATCTTTATACATATATATATATCACTCAATGGTTGAGTTAAAAAGGTAAAGACAAAAAAAAAATAACCTTTTCGGTCATATAATAAAAAGTATTGCTATATATACTGGTTAAACCATATAAATCATATTACAAAGAAAATATACACAAAAGAAAAGAATACATCATATTCAACTGTTCTTTTATATGATGAATCGATCATAGGAAAAAATAGAATATTTTAAAATCAATAGAACTATAAATAGAAAAAAAAACAAATCCAAATTGTTTTTTTTTTATTTATTAAATAAATAAAATTGATAAATTCTTTTTCGTATTGTAACTAGAAAAAGAATGATTTTTATATTTTGTAAATTAAATATTTATTGAAATATCTGATAACTTTTTCGACGCATTTCAAAAAGATTAAAAATCATTCAGTTCGCCCAAAGCAGAAAAAACATTCCTATTTCGATCGGTTTTTATTTTGCTGCACGACAATTTTTTACTATCAAATTTTGAAACAAAAACATTCAATAATATGAATCTTTTTTTTTGAAATTTATACATTTAAATGTCATTATTTCTCATTATCGAATAATAGAAAAACAAAGTGCCTTCTGCAACGATCATAAACGATTATTAAATAATTTTTTTTTCCAAATATTTATTAACTTTTCTTCAACATCCATCTATTTATCATGAATAAAATTTTCATGAACTTTTCATACCTATGTATTTGTTTAATCAAGATTATTTCAAAGTAAGAATCAGCACACCTCTCTGTTCTTTACAATTATCTACCATTCATCTCATCCACTAAATATCATTAAAATTCGCCTGTTCGATTCTTATTTATCGGGTTAATTTCAATAGTATGATATTCATAAATAAAATAAGCGAGTCGATCGACGATAAGACGAAAAATCTTAAATTGAACCATTCATTGTTTGTTCGCCTTAAAAAAAAATATCTTGTTTATTGTTCAAACTTTATCGATCTCAAATACGTAGCTTCTAGTTGCCTATACCCACTATTATGTTGAAAAAAAAGACCTTGGCAATAATGACAATAATATTCATTTTTTTACGATTTTTTTCGATTCTACTTCTTCCTTCTTCGATTATGATGCATTCGTTTCGTTGTCGTTATTTGATATAGGCTTGCTTCACGAGCACTTTTGAAATGAATAATGAGAAATCTTTCAATGGTAGCAAACAAATACTCCTGTAAAAATCGACCAAGAAAAAGGTGTCAATAAAAAGAAGAAAAAATCTCTCTTTCTCTCTAAGGAGACGAATTAATTTCTTCACATCTCTCTCCTGCTTTAACGGCGACTATTCATAACATAAAGTATGAGTGTGGATGTGTGCGAAGAGAATATAACATTCACATTATCTTCATTCAAGCATATCGTTGCTTGCAATTCAATTTTACTAGTTCCATCTTCTTTTAGATGGAAGCATCACATTGTTAACAATTGTATCCCGTCATCAGACGACATTGTCGTTCGAATGCTTTTTTTTGCTATCATTGCCTTTGAAATACCATGAAGTATCTTTTTTTTGCGAAAGTTTTATGATAGCAAGTAAAAATTTCATTCTTTCAGTGTATCATTCATTACAGAGTGATCTAAAAGAACAACTTAACCGTTTTTGCAATATTATTTCAGCACTTTTAATATTTAGTTTTTAATTCAATTTTCTTTTTTTAGAATAGATCTAGAGCTTAAAAAGCCACTAACTAGACATTGTTTTATTCTGAAAACGTTTCGCTTTAAGTGTAGTCGAAAAAAAATTCCTCTATTGGATAGAACTATTCGTACTTGATCGAGGTTGAGTCTTGTCCAATGCTGTTGTTCGTACTGATATTTATTTATCACTATAAAACTCCAATTTATCAATAATTGAAACGTCGTCGTAGCAACTAAACAGTTCTCTATGCAGTATAGAACTGATCATAATTGCGACTAATCTAAATGATGAAATCAAATAGTACAATAGTATAAGGTAGTATCTTATGCAAAAAATATGGAAGACTGCTTGTTGTCATATTGAAATATTAATAGTGTTAGAAAACTGTCAATAATTCAAAAGAAATTCTCACTACTTTATCTAATTGCGAACGCCGAGAAATTGTTGTGAAAGTTCCAGCTTCAAATACTATGCTGTTATCGAGCTATTGGGTTTTTTTACAAGAAGACCGAAAAGTAACAAAGGTGATTTTGTTCCAAAACAGATTTTCTCTTCAATGAATTTCTTGCTTGTCTACAATTATAGTGGAACATTTGCAAGATAAAACTATATCTACTTAGTATCTTTTTTTAACTCTATATATTGCAAAAAAGGGATAGGATTTTTGCGGATCATCCTACACAATTGATTACATGATCAATAAATAATATGATTATGTGCGTGTATGTAGAACAAAATACTACAGAAGAGAATGAAACCATTGAATTGTCGTTCGTTTCATTGGAAGAGAAAATAGTAGTTTATTTTTGTACAAGATATTTGTTGACTCACTGTAATGATGCTTCAATACTGGTTACACATCAAAACATATGAAGAAGGGAAAGCTGGCAACAGTAGAAAGAATACTTTGCCATCCGTCCTTTTCTATTAAAGCTAGGCAACGTCATTGAATGCCAACAAAAAAAAACCATATTTGATAATTGAGAAAGAAAAAATCGTCGTGCGTCATTGTCAAAGAAAATTTTCGTTTAAATAAAGAAATTTTGTAGTAGAATAACATTCATTCGTGATTTCAAGTTGACGACGGATCACACATATAATTTGTTCACATTACGTACAATCAATCAAATTAATATGAGTTGCGGTGCGTCAGCAGGATCAACAAGAACTAACTCTGCCAGCACTGATCCACAGCCTACTACGAAAGCAGCAGTAACACCATCATCATCATCGTTCTCTACTTTATTAAATCAGCAATTGGACTCAAATCGCATTCCAAAACGGGATCGTCGTACTGATACAAATGAAATTATTCAAAATTTTCTTTTGATTTGGCTTGATGCAAAAATCGATGAATCCAATGAAGATTATCATAATTCAATCAAACATCTGCGACGTACTGTCAATACTATCAAAACATTCCAAGATACTGAAGAATGTATCGATTATATTTCAAAACTTCAAAACGAAAAAGCATTTCTTATTATTTCCGGTGCTTTATGTCAAACTGTTGTGCCATGCATTCATAACATGACACAACTGTATGCAATTTATGTCTTTTGTCGGAAACAAGAAAAGTATGAAGAATGGGCCAAAGATTGGTCCAAGGTGAAAGGTATTTTCATTGAAATTATCCTGATTTGTAACGTAGTTCAACAATCTGCTCGACAATGCGACGAAGATTCTATTATCATTACTGGAATATCATCACTGAATCAAATCGAACCATCATTTATGTATACACAACTTTTCAAAGAAATTATTCTTGAAATCAATTTCGATGAAAAGAAAGAAATCAACGATTTAACCGATTATGCCCACGAGAAGTATGCCGGCAATGAGGAACACTTGTCAATAATTGACGAATTCGCTAGAGACTATCGAAGTCATTTGGACGAAAATAATAAGCCTATTTGGTGGTATACACGTGAATGTTTCACATACCACATGCTCAACAAAGCATTGGGTACTCTACAAGTTGAGACTCTACTCAAAATGGGCATATTTATTCGAGATCTTCATGAAAACATCAAGAAACTCCATTCGAGACAATTGAATGAAATGCCTGACGGCACAACAACAATTACAATGTATCGAGGAAAAACTATGACCAAGCATGACTTCGACAGCAAAATTAAACAAGGTGGCCTCATGTCATTCAATAATTTCTTATCAACAAGTGACGACCGAAACGTGGCCCTCCATTTTATTAAGGAAGGACTCGAGTCCAACAATAATAAAATTGGTGTTCTCTTCGAAATGACTATTGATCGATCGATTTCATCGGCTCCATTTGCCCGCATCCACGAATTTAGTTATTTCAAAACGGAAAACGAAATTCTGTTTTCAATGCACACAGTTTTTCGCATTCAGCATATCAAAGAAATTGAAGATAGCGGAATAGTGTTCTGGCAAGTGAAACTTACACTCACTAATGACAATGACGATCAACAGCTTAATGCTCTTACCCAACGAATGAGAAAGGAGATTACTAGAACAGGATGGCAACAGATGGGCTTATTACTATGGAAACTAGGTGAGAATGATAAAGCGGAACAGGTGTACACAATGTTACTTGAACAGGCATCCGATGAGAATAATAAAGCATATTGTTATAGCCTACTTGGACTGATCAAATATAATCAAGGAGAATACAACATGGCGGTTGAATTTTACGAAAAAGCACTAGATATCTACGAAAAAACTCTCCCTCCAAATCATCCCGACTTGGCTGCTTCCTACAACAACATCGGTTTGGTATATGATAAGATGGGCGAGTACTCGAAAACACTTTCATCGTATGAACGATCACTTGAAATCCGAAAAATAGCTCTCCCTCCGAATCATTCTGACTTGGCTGCTTCCTACCTCAACATCGGTTCGGTACATTATAGTATGGGCGAATACTCGAAAGCACTTTCATCGTATGAACGATCACTTGAAATCCAAAAATTAGCTCTCCCTCCGAATCATCCCGACTTGGCTTCCTCTTACAGCGGTATCGGCTTAGTATATGATAACATGCGCGAGTACTCGAAAGCACTTTCCTCGTACGAACGATCACTTGAAATTCGAAACATAGCTCTTCCTTCGAATCATCCCGACTTGGCTGCTTCCTATAAAAACATCGGTTTGGTATATGATAAGATGGGCGAATACTCGAAAGCACTTTCATCATACGAACGATCACTTCAAATCCGAAAAATAGCTCTCCCTCCAAATCATCCTGATTTGGCTACTTCCTGCAATAACATCGGTAGTGTGTACTCTAACATGGGCGAGTACTCGAAAGCGCTTTCATATTATGAAAAAGCTCAAGAAATCTGGAAAAAATCATTGCCTCCAACACATCCGCATATTGCACTTGTGAAAAGTAACATTAATATCATAAAAAAGAAATTGTAATTGACCTTTTATCACGACAATAAATTGTCCTATTCCTTTTCTTTTGTGATCAGTTCAACAGGATTTTATTCATCAGTATGAAATTTTTTTTGCACATGTGCGCGACTAAAGAGACCGTCCGCATCCTGTTGGGATGTACAGTGGACAAAGGCAGCAACAGTAATCGTGCAAACATACATGTATGTTAAAGATCTATCCATCTGTGTGCCTGTACATGTACCAAAAGAACAATAGACCTCTCTATTACGACTACAAAGCCATCCAATGAGCTTGTTGATAAGAAGTTGAAGGAGAAGAATGCAACGCGCAACGAAAGAAAGTACAAGCCATACGTACGCGATGATATCGATAAAATTGAGTTCTGGACATCCTTTCTGTCTTTACACATATCACCTTTGATTGAATTCATCTGAATACGATATAATTTTGACGATTATCATCTTTTCTAATGATATTAAACATGAATGTGTAACGGCAATTTGAATGTCGAGCACAAGTTATGGAATAATAGAAAAGATAACAAAAAAATTATGATATGATGTCTGGCGTCATTCTATAAATGGTGACTGTTCAGATGTGTAGAAGATCGATTGAGAAAGAAAAAATCAAACAATAAATCTTCCGCTTATATATAAAAAAAAAACCTATCAATGAAATCTAGTATATACCATGTTTACCATAAAGATCAGGAAAAATTTTACTTTTTGTATAAATTTTTTGATTCGAAAACTTTTGATCCATATCAGTAGTACAGAATCCATCTTTAAATGAAAAATTTTTCTTAAATGGCAAAACCTTTTTAGAAAAGATTTTTGTAACGATAAAATTGAATTAAAATTTTTTTTTCGAAAACTTGTAAAATTTTTCCATGAGATGAAAAAACAACAGAAGACTGATAATGAATGGTGCATTTCTATTTTTTGTTTTATCTTTGAAACAATTAATAGTTATTTTAAATTTAATTTTCTACAACCACTATCGTTTTTGTTGGTTGGATAGATTTTTTGTGTCAGAGTAAACTGCTAGACTCACCTCTCATTCTTCGAATAGTTATAAAGTCGAAACTAGGTGATGAAGACCCTTAAGCAAGGCCGAAAAGCGTCGTAATTTGCTTGATTCATCTTCATTCTCACCCATTCTCGTACATCCTAATAGATAATAGTTAAGTCATTGTTACGGTGGTAGAAGCATGCATTCAGTTGTAATTCGTTCACACAAGTATATGGCTTACTGTTATTTCTAATCGAACAAATTATTTTTTCTTGTTAGACTACAGTTCAATGGGTAGTGATGAAAAATCTTGATATTAAACTAGAAAAATCAATAGTTAAGAGAAAACAACTACTGTAAAAGTCATTACATGCAAAACCAAAGTGTTATATTTAATCTAGAAAATATATTTTGAAATGCTGATGAATGATCATACGAATATTTTTTCAATATCAATATTCATATCCCGCCTGTTAGACATTGCTATCAGGAAATGTAACAAGTTCGGTAAAGCTTCTATCGAAACAAGTGTACCTTATAGAAATCTATTGTAAGAGTGTGAAGATGAGTATAAAAAATGACGTTGAATTTCAAGCTGCTTACGACGATCTTTCGGATCTTGCTTAAAGGTCATCATCAGATGAATTTCAAATTCAATTCTGCATATCGATTGATATTATTCATAGAAGTCTATGAAAGTTAAAAAATGACTTCCATTATTTGAGAGTGTAATGAGAGTGTATGATAAGAGCTTTCATAATGTTTCGATTTAAAACTCAATCAGTCTCATCAGATGGCTTGAATCTTGATCAATTCTAGAAGAAGAACCACAATAAACTAAACTGTTGCTTGAAAAGGAAAAGCTGATTTTCCATTATAGACTTTCGTTTCCTCAGTCTCTAAAAATTTGATCAGCGGTTGAAATCCTTTGAAGATTGCAAGCTTTATAAGCAAATTAAAGTTGCCTACAAAGGTATCGCCCGAATGTTCACCCAGACAAATTATCAGATTGCGATAATGAACCATATCAAAAGATGGAATAGGATTAATATTTTTATTAAATTAAAATTAGAAAGATCCAGGAAAGTAGTTGAGAGGTAAGAGATCATTCTTGATTAAACAAATATAGATTCGTTCTCAGTCAAAATTTTATTCTTTAAGCTTTCTCATAGACATCGACTTGTTCTAATGTACGATCAAACTCGACTGGTTCAATGTAACTGTTGCCATTTCTATCCATGTGATTGTATTGATGACAAAAAAGAACAATAGTAACGTGTTGGTCCATGGGCTTCGCTTGAATCAATCCTAAGAATCGTATAAAGATTTTAAAAACTTTGACAGTCTCATTTGATACTCTATAAAACAGACTGAAATTGATTATTCGAAGGTCATGGAAATGAATTTCAATGTTTTTTTTGAATCCAACTTAAGGTTGAATGTCAATATTATTTATGAGAATGTTAGTGGTCAAAGATACGTGAGCGAGGTATTTAAATTATCTACTGACGACTGTAACTCGAATTAGTATTTGATGATGTGATTAACAGATTTCTCACTTCCGTAGTTCCATAATTCATCTGACACTTCGACAATAAATAATTCTTATATTATCAATAAATTATTTTCTCATGAGGATCAGTGATTGGTAACAAGCCATTGTTTTCGACCACAGATGCATATGTAAAAAATTGTTGTGAAAAGAATTGTAAGCTATTTAAAACTCCTTTATGAAATCACACTCCTGTACTTTCAAATCGTTACTGTCGACTAAGAAGATAAAAATATAAAGTGAAAAAAAGATAAACTTATCGAGTGCGACAGAATAAAGGAGCCTTTCAGTAATTTCGTCGTAGTTTCTTTTCCTTTCAACGTACCATTCTGATGCTTTTATTAAAAGACCTGTCGCGAGATTTTTTAGAAAATCGAATATTCGAACTATTGTGATACATGTTCTATAAGAGTTTCGATAATGAAAGTTGAAAGTCTTCGATAGATGTCACTTCGAAAAAACAAGTAAAACAAGAGTATCGGAAAAGAATTTTTGCATCTCGAAAAATAAATTTCTAACGTTTATCAATCATCAAAATCCTGCTGCATCTTATTCAAATGACAGACTTCGTTCTCTCGTTTTGTACTGATCTCCTACGATTAGAGTAGTTGATCATTCATACTCAACATTGGTTTCTAACCGAACTAAGTGATTTATTTGAGATGCGAGAAATTCTTCTCTTGTGCTTGACTTTTTCTATTTTTATAAAGTGAAAATTATCGAAAACTTTTAACTTTCATCATTCAAGTCCTGCTCAGATGTATAGCAATATTTCAACTTTTTGGTTTTGTAGAGAATTTCACAGTACATCCTTTAAAAAACAGTAGTGTCAAATTTGAAAGTCTAATTCAATTGAAACTTCAAATTTCAACTATCATTCCAACCAATAGAGAGCAGGATACCTGTCTCTCCCTCTTACTCTCACCATGTTCTCCCATTTCTTCTGCTACTCTCTATTACTATATACTAGGTGATACTGTCGATGTCAACAACTTATATGACATGCTTGAGCACATAATCTTACATCTTTGTGCCTCAAATTTCTCAGTCGGCAGTATTCTTACCCTATTATGACACACAATTTTTGACTAGTGCGTAATTAGTGAAGTGTGTATTGTAAGCCTGTCGATTTATATACAGGAATTCTACATCTGAATGACATTCTATCGGAAGTTATTCTAGTATACAACATCTAAAATAACAGCAATGCATTCTATAAGATAGGTAAATGTTCTTTTTTTTTTGGAAAAATAGTCAAAAAGTCTCAAGAAAATTATATGCACCAACGTAGAATACAATATATAGATTGCAAATTGAATAAATTGAAGTGTCTTGACCGCCTTTGATGTTGAACTGTTAGAGTAATGTATCAAAAAATATTCATCATTGACGTAGTGTATAAAGTTTGTAACGTAATCTTTTCTCTGTACTTATTCTCTTTTCTTTCTATTCTAAGCCTTTGCGCCTTATAGCTTGAATTCGGTTTGTTTTGAGGCCATTGCTTATTGTATATATACCTCTGTAATATTTTCTTCTTTTTTTGTGCGTTCTTTATCATTGAATATGACGAATCATTATTTAGTGTTTGTTTCTATCTTATGTGGGAAAAATAATTGCTTGATGAGAGGTTGGAAATCATAGTGGGAAATACATAATCTATTTTAGTCATATATAAGACAGAAGGCAAAGTATCAGAAAAAGGATATTGTCGAGTATAATCTGAGTTAATAATGCGTTTTCGTTAACACTACAAAAGGTAGGTTTCTCATTAAATCTACATCATGAACTATCTGAATATTCGTTTTCTTCACGAAAAAACAAACGATTACGAAGCGAAATAAATCAGAATAGTGATGTGTTATTATGAGTAGATATCGACGTGACTAATACTGGGTGTGGGTGTGGGTGAGTATGCATGTCGGTATGAGTCTTGTCTGCACTACACCCACACCCACATCCACACTCTCAACCCATCCATACTGCATGCGAAATACATCGTATGATGGCTTGCTTTCTGATGATGTGAAAATCACATTTCAAGTAATAAACACTATGATTGTCTGTCTTAATTTATTTTTTTACCTCATTTGAGATGAAAATAAAATCATGTAGTGATCAATTATTTGTCTGTTGAATGTTGTTGAAAATTATTGTGGAATGACTTTTATAGACATTTATATGACAAAACCCTTGATTGCAATATAGTAATAGAACCAAACATACCTGATGATTATATGAATCAGATGTCCTTCGAAATGCATCGCATAATTGTTTGATTTCTTCTCATAGAAAAATCACATCTATATCTTTTTTCGTGCAAGATACAAATCATACAACAGTTGAAAAGAAACCTATCAACTGAGTCTTCGACAATATTCGGCAAAGTTTCATGGAAACGGGATTAAACATTATCACATGTCAATGTCATTCTCAGAAATAAGCACTTGCAACAATAAGTCTAACTATTTTATGTTTGAATGAGTTCATTCGTTCAGTGAAAAATTTTAGTATATACTTAATTAATTTCAAGCAAAAAAGGAAAGAATAAAGCATGAAGATCATAAAATATAAAACTGTGATAACGAGTAGTAATTATTAGTTTTAAAAATAGTTCGAAACTAATTTTGGTGTGTATTGTATTTGTCAAACTTAGGCACCACTTGTAAAATTTGCTATAATCGTGTACACCTTGTATGGTGGGCAACTATCTTCAGCTTGCAGTTTTCCGTTCGAAGCACGAGAATATATCACTTCGCCAGAATTGACGTTATCCCAATAGTCATAAATTTTGTTTTGAATATCTGCACTGTTTGCAGATCCCCACCAGTTGTCAGTTGCTTCAATATTATACGGACCAACATTTCGAATATTGAATACGCTGTTGGAAATAAAATTGGAACTCAAAATTGAACTCTTTTGCGTACTATTGGATGTAATTTCTAAACCAACTTCAAAAGATCTGATTGATGATAAAGCTATAGTAATACTAGAAGCTTGAATTCCGATGGTATTTTCTTGTGCAATATATGACGAGCGTTTGACAGAACTGCATAAAATAGTTGAGTAATCACCTAATACCAATGGTGGTGCTTTGAGCTCGATAGTTGAATAACTAATGAGTACATTAGGCAAAGGCAAATTCATGATTCCATTTCTGAAGAAGACGTTTCTTATCTTCACTCCTTTATTGTAGTATTGGTACGGCTTTACATACGTGATATTAACATCGGTAAATATTGAATCTTGAAGTGTAGCTGATGGCCCATACCCGAAAAGTGTTATATTACCATTGTGAAATGTGGAGTTGTTCACAACTATAGAACTATAATAATTGAATGAAGAGCCGTAGTAGGAGATGCCGTAGCCATAGTAGTAGTATTGGTAGTAGTAATAGTAGTTCTCTGATCCCCCGATATCAATCGAAACATTGTTGATTGTTGAATCTTGGATAATGAAACTATTCAAGTTCCCCCAGTAATTATAATAATAATAATTATAATAATAAGGGTCACTGAAAGACATTATGAATAAGGAATCGCGAATTATGCTGCGAAAAACTCTAATATGCACACTAGATAATCTCCACCAATTTGAATATTGTTCTACTGCATCTTCGATTATCGAATCATTAAATTGAAGCAAAGCTGGTGCACTTGGATAATTCTGATAATTGTTATCAACTTTAATTGTCACATTTTTCAATTTGGAATTAACAAACTGAATGCCATCTAAAGCTGCTGCCGGTCGAATAGTTGTATTGAAAATTTTGCTATTAGTTATAAGAATTGATTCACTGAAAGTGTTGCCAGTTGACACCAACGAATTTTTAATTACTGCTGAGATCAATTCGAGTGAAGGAGCAGGTGAAGAACGATGCAAAGGAAAGTAACAATTAAAAGGATAATTACCTACAGATAGATAATACAGAATAATATTTATGCTCGAATGATCAAAGCCAGAAAAAAAAGAAATATTAACCATTTTTATATGCTAAGAAATTAAAGAATTAAATTATTTTATTGTGACTTTGCGAGTAATGGAATATGAAATACAAGATCTGCCCTAACATTTTCGAACATGTATTGTTTGTATGTTCTGAGAATAAAACTTTTTCAGAACTAGTCTATATGTTTCTATTTGATAGCTTTCACCGAAATTCAATTATTCTTAAAGCTACGATCTTTGTCTCGGTTTCTCAAGTGGTAGTGTATAGCAATATTTGTTTTAACACATTCATGGCGATTCGATTTTCTTAAAAAATAGCTTTAACAGATTCATTTTCGTGTACATTTACTTTCTGATATTGATATTTGGAACCGCAATAGTTAATAGTTATCTAATTTACAAGGAAAATTATGCCACAAGCAACATATCCATTCTGCAGTTTCGTGAAAGTCTTGTACGATCTTTACTCATTGGTACGCCATTCGAGAAGCTGAAACCTGGTCCGAGATAACAATTAGCAAGTCGTTTGAAGCGCAAACTCCACTGATCACAAATTTGAAGGAATAGAAGGACCTGCTTGCGATGTACGAAGACACTGTGCTGGCTACTATGAGAAAATTAGGCAACAACAATCAAGAGAAACAAATGCGACAGCAGCGAAGAGAATAAAAACTTTCTGTGCTGATTGTGATAGATATTTGTGTCTTGATTGTTTCAATGAAAAGTATTACTCAAGATAATAAAGAATTTGAATACTGAACAAGACGGAGTGCATGAGGGACTATATGGGGCATCCACTACATAAAAAAAGGAAACTGTTTTTTGTTATTTTCCTTATAAATATGCCATGAGCCATCGGTGGCTCACATCGCCGTGAATGTGTTAAGACTCAAGAAATTATTTCGAATTTTAAAAAAATGCTTAAAAAATGTGAACTATTAAATTGAGCTCGGATGTTTCGTCAATTAATATCGTTTTAACATATACAAATTACCGAATGCTTATACTTTCGAAAAACAATTTTAAAAAATGAAAAAAAAAACCAAACATCTTACCGTTTGATTCAATAGATGTATTTTCAAGGAACACTGTATTCTGAACAACTAAAACACCCGTATTTTGAGGTAATCCAGCAAGTGCGGTCGTAATCTGCAATCCTTTTTGAGGTCCAGTAAAAATAGCATTATTGACGAAACTTGCTGATAAATTAGTTGATTGCAGTGTTACCATCCATTTAGTATTTGTTGCTGCACCATTATAAAATTGCACAGGATTTGAAGCAGTTCCTTGTACGTGCAAAAATCCTTTGACAAGTATTTCAAAGTCACCTCTATCAAAAAGGATTTGTACGCCTGCTTGAATAGTCAGTGTAACATTTCTTGGCACATAAACATTACTGATGAGATAGTAAGGATTAGCACCACCAGATCTGCTCCATATTGTATTCTGCAGCAGCATACCACCAACATTGGTCGATGCTTGACTTCTACTGAATGTAGAAGCAAATAATATGATAATAAATACAAGCATATCGACAATGAATTGATGGTATGTCAAAACTCACTATTTGCTGTGACTTTTTATACTATATTTCATTCTGTTTGGGTCCAGTGATCGCTAGACAAATGTTATTTATGATGAAAGACGACTCCAAAGTTCAGCTAAAAGGTATAATTGAAAAACATTTACCATTATATGATTTTTGTTCGTGCATGACTTTTCTTGCTCTTTGCACTATGCTCCAAAGTAATAAAAAAAACATTGTCTAGAGTACTCATTGAATTATGTAATTGGTTGTTTGTCTGGAAAATGATTAAATAGTGTTGATCGATTGATGAATTATTCATAAAAAAATTCACTGCGATAAAATACATTCGAAAAAAAACTACAATTTAATATATATACATTTTTCTTGTTTGCGTAAAATTAAAATTCACAAGATAGTTTTGAAAGGTGAAATCAACCATTTACACTATATAGAGACTATTCTTAATATGTTTCTCGTTCTAGAATTTTTATTGATAATATATGAATAATGACAACAATCGATGAATATTTTATTCGTGCTGTGTTTTGTATAAGTCAAGACCTTTGGTGCCCTTTGGACAGTATTGTTTATTTGTTTTGTTCATTATTTTTGACATTAATGGATTATGATTATTTCCCTCGATATTTACAATATCTGGAAAGAAAATGTCATGCACATATTTGATTACATATAACGAAAGAATACCGTCTATAAAAACAAGCGAAAAGCACCTATATTTGTTATTCAATACATCAGAGCAAAAATGAATCGATTAACAATCGTGCTTTTATGTGTGTTGATATTTTTGTTCGTCGACAAATCTTCATCTCAACAGTCGTGCCAAGCTCTTCCAGATTGTGCATCTTCTTGTCCGTTTGGGGTTGTACTTGGTTCAGATAGTTGTCCCACATGCACTTGCAGACAAAATCCATGTTCAAATGGGCAAAGTCCACATCCAGGCTTCACTTGCCAACAAGACACAGATAAAATTTCCTGCCCACCAGAACACGAGTGTCGCAAGGCGTCGGGAGAATCTTCTGGTTTATGTTGTCCTTCAAAGTAATGCCTCAAATGAAAACAAGCGAAATTTTTTTCAATCAAAAGAAGTTCAAATTAGAAAAAAAAATCTATTGTCCTTGAACCCACTGACATTCTCAAATATATAACATTAACTGAAATTATTTCATTAACCATATATAGGGCATTTCTAATCCTAATGCCTAATAGTTTCTTAGAGAAAACAAACAAATTGTTTTTTTAATCTTTTTGTTTGAAATAAATATTATGGTAATTGAAAGTTTTGATATCATCGAGGAACAAGAGTCAATAGAGGATGTGGGTGTGCGTGTAGTTATTCTCGAATGTACATTTATATACAGACACGCACCTACACCTAAAAACTAATGCAGCTAACACAGACATAGAATATGTAACTATTTTAGTATCTGTGATTGTCCGCGACCAAATTCCAATAACGATCATAACTTTAAAAAAAATATTGGCCAGTATTACAGCCATGATCGTGATAATCATGAGCCACGGCGATCACGACGGGCACTAATGTCAACAAGAAAACTGACTATTGAGGCAACATACATACTATTGCTACTCCTTGAGAATCTTAGCTACTTTCCATAATAGAAAGTTAAAAAGTTAATCGTAACTGATATTCACAAAAGAAAACGGACTAATTATGCAAGTTGGATGTTAGCAAAATGTTTTCAAGATTCACACGTGTTATCTTAGTGGAACATTGTGTACAAATCATTTTCGTGCGTACATATAAAAGAATCATGAATCATAGAATCTTCCTGATTTGAATCCTTTAGGATATAGTTTATAGAGTGAACTGGCTAAAACTATGAATTTGAACACTTAACAACAAAAGAAACATTGATAGATGAAATAATATTTTCTGTCAAAAAAGTTGGAAAAGATAAACATATACATTCAGTACTTGATATCACTACACAATTACGTTTCATCCAAAGAAAGAAAAATTAGAGTAGACTATATTTATTAAATCAGGCATACTAATTACTTTGTGAGGAATTTCAAACATTATTTTTGATAAAAAAACAGACGCTTTGATAAAACGAAAAATACAGAAATTTTGAAAATACTAAAAGTGCAATTAATTATACAAATAATTCTTCATGTTTCTCTTTGTATTATTTCATCCTACAAAATACAAATTCAATTATATGAGCAAAAAAAAAACATTTTCATTTATATACATATATTATCAAGAACAATAATTTTAGTTGCGTCTTATAAAAATTCTATTCGATTAATAACTAAAGTACGACTATTATCATCAAGATGAGTTTCCATCGATCTGAAATAAATTCATCAGTGTTTTTAAGATGCAAAAAAAAATAAATAAATAAAAAAGTTCTATTTATTTGTCAAAGAGATACTAAGAAACTTAAGTATCAATAGCAAAAGTGGATTATCTAATAGATAAATATCAACATCATAATAAAGTGTTCTTGCCATATTGAAAGGGTACTTTTTGACCTTATAAATAATAGATAATAATAAATCATTTAAATAGGTTTTTCTCGAATAAATCAGCAAGTATCACTGTAAATGAAACGACACTTTGATCACCAATAAAAGTATTTGCACTATAAAATAATTGAACAAAATCTTATTTATTAAATACAATCACATATCATTCTGCGTATGGGCAAAATCATTCGTAAGTGACATGGCATCACAAAATTAAAACACGTGTATCTCAGAATAATGAACTTTTCTAGAACTAATTTTTACATCTTATAAACATGTTGTGTTATTCGAAATATTCTGAAAAAAATCAGTGACAGAGACCATTGTTCAAAGGAATAATTAGTAAAAAAAAAATAAAGCTAGCATCAGCAATGTAATACAAAAAAAATATATATTCACTTTCACTTCATGCATTTGAGTTTTAAAAAAACTTCGAATTGAGACAGAACTTTAGAAAAACTAATTAGTAAATTTTGTAGACAATTCCTGAGACTAGAAAGTCTTTATTCAAAATTTGTTCTGAGTATACTTAGATTTTTCAAAAAAAAACTATTTACTTCTTGTTAGCAACATGATGGAGTGCCAATATACAAACGGAAAAATCGCTCTTATAATCGAATGAGAAGTTTAAAAGCAAATCCAAACAATACAAATCCTTTTGAGAATCTCTAGACGATGATGAGACAAAAGTCTTTGTTTCGGAACTTGATAGAATCTTCAGAAAATTAATTTTTGAAGAAGTTTTTATTTTTTGAGTCTGATCTTGCTGAAAATTTCATCCAAGATGTGGTTCGTACCGTAAAACCTATTCCGAAGTTTTCGGATTTTTTTTCTTGTATGGTTCGAGAGATATTTACTAATTACTTTTTAATTAATTAATAGTCGGTCGAAAGAGCCAACATTTTTACATATCTCTATGCTAAAAGAACTTATTCAGAAAAATATGCTTGATAAAGAATTAAAGTCAAATAAAACGTGAATATATCTCATTTAACCTAAAGTGATTTATATAAGAATGAAAATGGATCTAACGTGTCGAGGACAGTTACATGGATAATACTTTGAAACAACTTATAGCTATATTTTGTGGAACTCACATATGTTTTCGAAGAAAATAGTGAGTGTAAGTTTTAAGTGTGAGGTTTGGCGGCTCCCCACCCCCCC